TGCTTTAGTGTTTATATAATAACTCATTTTTTTTAAAAAAACTCCAATATTAGATTGAGATGAAAGCAATATTAAAAAGCATTAGAAAAGATTATAACCTCGATTATGAGAACACTTTCAATAGTTCTAGGAATATAGAAATTCATGGCCAGCTCGTAGAAGAATTACGAAAGACGATAGTACCAAAATACCGCCCTTCAATAAGTCAGCTTACCAAATGGTTAAGTTCGATCCAAAAGTCGAGAAGGTCACAAAAGAAACTAAAATCGACTAGGAAGATTACTAACAACTATCATCGAATTCACAGCAACAGCAGATTAAACGACGTATGTAATTCATTAAACAGTTGAAAACATTTTCTCCATAATAATAATATAATTTATCTTTCAGAAAAAATTCTGAAGAATAAAGGCTGCTAAAGATCTCTTCAGAAAAAATGACAAAAGGATAACAAAATATGAGCAGTGACCTTTATTAATGTTGTTATCCGATCGCTAATTCCACTCTCCCAAAATTAGCGAATCTGACGATAATAATCAGAACGCCACAGTAATTAACGTTTATGATTACTCATGACGTTCTGAAGAGGTTTGGCATTTTTGACATTATTAGTTGTTTTTTGTTAATATCAATCAATAATAAATACGATTTTATTTGTTAGCTTAAAAAGCTATTGCATGACATACTCGACTCCCATGCGCTATCGATCCAAATAGCGTAATTGCAAAGGAATAGAAATTATGATGATGAAATTCAACATTTCGATTTATTGCATCCAACGAGTGCTTCTCAGTGATCATATGGATTGATTGCTAGGAAAATCAGGTTCTGGGAATTTTTTAGTGAAATTGAGATTTTTATTGCATTTTAGTTTTTGATGTTATTAGATTAAAATGTATTAAGCTCTTAATTTTATCAAAAATTTCTCAGAACCTGATTTTCCTAGAAACACTCCCATATGTCGACCAAAACGACATGATTCTCAATACAGAATTCGAAAGAAATGATGCCGATAAATATGAAAGAAATGACGAAAGAAATGAAGAAAATGAAAGAGATGATGATGAAGAAGAGGTTGAAATAATGTTGACAGGCGAAGCTCAACATTCGAACGATGATAATTAATTTTTTTTTTTCTTTTTTTTATTTTACTCATCGAATTTTTTATTTTCTGAATTTTTTTATTTTTCTGAATTTTTTTTTATTTTATCTTTTTAATATTGAATTTTTAGACTAAATTTCCTTCCATCTACCTATCGCAGCAAATTCAACATAATTTATATAGAATAAGTGTTATTGATTTTCCTTTTTTTTATTTTTATTTATCGAAATATTCTCTTTTTACCATTTATTTTGGACAATTTTCTCTTTTTTTACCTTTTTACTTTATTTATTTTTTAATTTTCGATAACGACTTTTATTATATAATGTATATTTAATTTCAAAACATTATTGTAATTTTGCTTTATAAATATAGCTAAATTTTATATCTGAATTATATATAAATTATATATAAATTATACAAATGATTGCATCCGACTATCATGACAATTTTGCTGAATTACATTCCGAATCTTAGTTGAATTTCTTCTGAAGTCTATTTCTGAATTACATTCTGAATATTTTCTGAGTGGCAGTGAATGGCAGCTCTTCAGAACTATGTTTTGAAATACCATTCAGATAATTTTATATTGTAATTTATCCTAAATTCAGACATTTGAATTCCAGCCAAATTGGACTATTTTGACTAGTAATATAGTACCCAGAATCTTATTCAAGAATTTAAATTTTTAAATTAAATAATACTCATGCGTACTGTATAAGGAACTGGATACTATTTTGAGGGAATATTCTATGCAGGATATTGTATATGAGGTCTTATGTATCAGTAGCAGTTACACAAATCTAATCTATTATATATATATAGATTAAATTAAAAAATAATGTAATTGCGTTATTAAGTATAAAAAGCATTTCTGACTTAAAAAATTGATGGAGAAGCTTAAATAATCTATAAAATTGATGATGAAGTATTTGTAAATTGAATAAATAAAGCATTTAATTAAGATTAAAATTAGAAATTTAGTTACGGAGTAATGAAAAATTTCTAGAAGTAGAAATTAATACTTTTTTTTTAAGTTACTGCCTGTGATATTCTCTTTAAATAATTTGTAAGCAGATTCTGTGCTCCTATTTACTCGCAACAATATAAAAAAATGTGAAAGTATAAATGATCTAAAAAATTAAAAATGCCAAAGAGAAATTTTGGTATATGACGAGCAATAAATACACAAAAAAAACATTGACAATAGAATGCTTATGAAAAGCTAATAGTTGTGTTTTATCAAGAAAATGGACATAGTATCTGGATAACAGCAAATAAATTTAGAATCGAACTAAAACAGGTTTATGACTGGAAGAATAAAAAAAGTGGTTTAATGTATGCAGCTCCATATGTTCAATGACTTAACACTGGTATACAGCCAAAATATCCATAACTTGAAGAAGAACTTTTGGAGTGATTTCGTAAGTTACAAAGATAATTAAAAATGGTAACAAGATATATGATCAGTGTAAGAGCCCATAATTTAGTTAGCAAACAAGAATATTGTACCTTGTATCCTGATATTCATAAATGTAAATTTACATATAAATGAGTAGATAGATTTATGTCTTGTTATTTGTTGGTAAATCGTTAACATATTACAGTTGCGTAAAGATTACCTGAAAAATATAATGAGAATTAGCAAAATTTTTATCATACATCTTTATTGACAAATTGAATGTAACTATCCTTTAAATTTAATTGGTAATATAGATGAAACTCCAATGGCATTTAATTTGCCAAGCCAAACACAATTGAAGAACATAAAAAATGAACTATCTTAATTCTTACAACTGGTCATGAATGTATCAATTTTACAGTAACTTTTACTTGCCTTGCAGATGATACTAAACTTCCTCCATTTATTATTTTTAAGTTAGTTAATATATCATGAGAAAAATTTCTAAATAGTGTATATGTTCATGCAAATCTAAGTGGCTAGATGGATAAGAAAGAAATGATTTAGTGGATGAAGAATGTGTGATGTCAATGAGTTAATTTAAGTTCAAATCTACATTCCCTTCTTGTTCTTGATTCATTTACTGTTTATAGAACAGATTTTGTAAAATACCATTTTAGTGAAAAAATACAGATATAGCTGTAATTCTAGATAGACTAACCTTACATTTGCAACTATTAGATATATTCTTAAATAAAGCATTTAAGTAAAGGTTAGTATAAGTATTATAGGTAATATTAATATAAAAAAAATTTTTATTAATTTTTTTTTATTTTTGTTATAAGTTCGTCATGTTTACAATCAATAGATGGATGAAGCTATAAAGGAATATATGCCAATAGGTAAAATTAAATGACTATCATACTCACTAGTAGCAATCTGGGTTAAAGAAGCATGGGATAATATTGATCCTGCAATAATAAAATGATCTTTTAAGTGCTGTGAGATCTTCACAAATTTAGACGGCTCTGAAGACAATTCAATTTTGATTTTGAGAAAGTGTCAGGTGAGAAAGATTTAGAAATTGGTATTGAAGAAGAAGAAGAAAATGACAAATTAACTTCACAAGATAGTGTATGCGAACATTATGAAATGAAAAGGAAATTATATCAATATTTAGAGCTAGTTTATTAGAAATTTTGATTAAAATAAATAAATAAATATTTAAACATTATAGGTTTAATTAATCTACCATAAGTAAAACTAAAACTGAAATCATTTAAATAAAACTCAAAAGTTACGGTTAAAAAAATTAGATTTAAGTCTGCCTGATATAGATCACATAAAAATTCAAAATAGATCAACAGATTTTATAACTAATATTAAAAGGTATTACTGTTAAAATTATAACTTCAGTTTATAGTAATATGAAAATAAATTTCAAGACTAATTTTCTTCAGCACTCAGGTATTAATCAATTTTTATGAGATTCAACTTTGAAAGTACCCAGGTACTAACTGTAACTAAATCACTATAGATGGTGAATAATGCCCGAGTTTTAATCACAAGGTACTATTTTTGAGGGGTACTATATTCAGTGGCCAACGGTACTGTCGTAAATAAGGATTTTTAGAAGTTTTTGAATGTTAGCATCCTATAATTCAATGAAAGAATATTCTATTCTATCATATGGAGGTAACTTGCTAAGAATAGGTTTGAATAAGATATAATCATAGAGATGGAAGGTGCTTTCATTCTCACTAACTCAAAATAAAACGTCAAAATCATCTGAACTGCAGATATTACTGATATCATTTAATATTAACGTATCAAACTCACATTGAGTCAGAGGTAACTTAATTTCTTCAGAGAGTTCCTTATCAATAAATCCTTTAAGAGATTCAACATTTGGAAACGTCATTCTAGGTCTCTTCTGAAGTTTGTTAAGAATTTGATCGCTAACATCTTGGACTATAAATGTTGAGCAGAAACATTGGTAAATGATAGAACAAAATGGTAATGCAACTATAACAATAGTTTTTATTACGCATTCTTACCTGCCTTTCTTTTTCTTTTAAAATCTAATGGTTGTGAAAAAAAATGATAATATTTAGCAAGAAATGATAACTGCAAATTTCTTATTCAAAAGGTAAACTATTGGGTGACAATTACCAGTGATAGGGACTACAATGATGATATGAAAGTAATCTCTCTCAGGTTTTTTGTCACTTTCATTAAAATATTTAGCAAATAATAACCAAGGATCTATCATTGTGTCAACATTTATAATCTCATTTTTGGTTTTATATTTAAGGCTCTCAAGGTCAAACTCAACTTTCAAAAGATCCATATTATCAGGATCTTTAACTACATTTTTTACACTTTCCTTATGAAAGAGTTGCTCTTTAAAGTTTGAAATAGTGAAGTCTTTAAAGGGAACCTCAAGACTATTATTATTTATGTAAATATCACCAACATTAATCGTGAAACAAGTATTTATTTCTTGAATCAAACAATTTAGCAATAATAACATTTTGATGGTACTTGTTCTGAAATGATAAAATGATATTTAAGTTTTTAGATTTTGTGGGGTAATAATATAGATACCTTCATAAAAAGTAATTTATGTACATGAAAAAAATGATTAATTGCGGTTTTATCATCACTCGTTAGATTTGCGATTCTCTGATTTTCAGGGAATATAATACTCTGCTTCTCATAATTTTCGTCCATATGAATTTTATCCATTTTCTTGATCAGTTTTAAGAAAAGCTCAAAACAAATTTAACTCATATTCCTTCACATCATGTCCTCTTTTCAAGCTGCTCAAATTTTCGATTCTAAATTTGTACTTTAGAAAGAAAAATTGTTATAGTTTTATTAAAGAATTAACAAATCTCTCGGATGAATTACAATTTATTGTGAAATGCAATTGGAAACTTTAGTTGGAGAAATTAAATTTAAAGAATAAGGGATAAAATCTATGAAGATAAATTACCAATTCTTTCTTAATTATATGTATCTAATTGTAGTGTAGAAAGAAGTTTCTCAATTTATAATAATATTTTAGATAATAATCAAAATCTTTCAGAATGAAGAATTCTAATTAATATAAATAAATATCCGCAGAAATGATGATTATAAGCCGCAGAAACAGGGCAGAAATAAACGCATTGTCCCTGGTTTACTATTTAAATGATGATTACTCAAACAAGTCAACATTTTTTAGTTCGCCGGTAGTTTTCTTTCAAAGAGCGTCTTTTGGTAAAAAGGTATATTTGCTTTCTTTTTTTTTTGTTTTGTTGGATATTATGGATGATGTTAACACGGGGTGTAACATGTTTATCATTAGGTAAGCCCAGACTATTTGGCAGTTTCCGGTAGTATTTTCAGGAGCGGCATGGTACTATGCAAGGGAGAGCATAGACAACAGCTTCGGCTGTAGTCTCCAGTAAGGTTTATCATCTTTATTATTTACGAAAAGAGGAGAGAAAATCATATTTTATTCAATAAAATTAATAAAAATTTTAAGTGCAAGATCAACAGCGTAAAAAGGGTATATTCTTTCCTTTCATAAACAAATTGTTATTGGTTCCTTTGGTTATATCTATTGGAACGTTACATCCTGCAATAAAACTTGATCACGTAATGTAATTTTTTGTGAAATGAGTCAATTATTGAAATGGCTAAATTTATCGTTTTTAATTAATTGCACTGCAAATGGTTTCTTTTTTGACTTCGAATAATCACCACAATATTTAGTGATAATTTACACCCTATTCTTTATTTGAATAATTAATCAAATTAGTTGATACCCGATGCATTAAATTCAGGTAAACACAAATAAGAAAAAATGGATGCATGGCTTTTTAAATTTTCATTGAACAATCTTTTCGCTTCCTTGACTAGAAGCAGGGTGTTAAATGTGTCTCAGGCTTGCCAAAAGAAATAAAAAAATGAGTTAACCAAATCTGAAAAATTATATTTGGCGTTTCTTATACGAGAAGCCGATTTTTTTTTATGTCACGTAAAGTATCCCAAACCATCGTACAACTTTAGCAGATTGGGTCTTAAAACAATCAAAATCGTACAAGTTATTGTCATTATATAAAATGAATTTTATTCCCAAAATATCATTAAAAAAAAATTATTTTACAGACTTTTTTGATTATCATAACCATGAAAACAAGGATTTAGTTGGTTTAATGTTTATATCAACAGTTTAAAGTAAAATTGAACTCCAGGTTTTACGCAAGTGTCACCAGAAGATCAGGAACTTTTGTTTTCTTTTACACACGCATTAAACACATTAAACACTTGAGATAATGACGTGTAACCTTTCGGTGAACAACTTGATCGATATTTTTAGCCAATAAATACTACAAAAACTTGTATCGTTACATGGTCGTGCATGGTGGATCGTGTTAAACAATAGTGATGTGTGTTTGTTAATTGAATGGAAATCTAAATATGAAAAGGTTTTAGGTACACAGATATCCGAATTTTATCTTTTCAATGATTCAAGGAGTTGATTTTTTTTTTATTTACTTTTTTTTTTTACTAAATTTATCTAATGTTTCTCGTTGTGTATTATTAATGTAAACAAACACACACAAATATTCTTGTAAAATAAACGAAAACGGATTTATATGGATAAATAAAGATATCACATAAACGCATGAAATCAGATTTCGGTATATTCTTATTTGTTATAATAAAGAGGTAGTATTAAAATGCCAACCATGAATGATAAACTGTATAATTTTTTTTTTTTCCTTTCTTATTTCCCTATCTTGTTTCCATTACTTTATTTGTCCCTTTGTAATAATAAAAAAAAAATTTTTCACAAATGAATTCAAAGAATTTGAGTAAAATTTTCACAATGGATTCACAAGAAAACTGTACAAGATACGGTTTTATATTGTTAATTACCAAATTTTTATTCATCTTTATCATAATTTGGAATCTTACAACTTATTGTATATTGGAAAATGATTATAATAATAATGAGAGTTACGAGATTAATTCAAATGTAATTATGAATTTCATTTGTGTTTTTTTGTTAATCCTTTTTTTTTTTTTTGATTTTCATCATAAATTTTTTTTCCGTTCCCCTTTTCTCTTTAGAATTCGGATATGTTGGTAAATCAGAAATACTGCGGATCAAACGAATGTAGATTTTTGTTCGCACATCGAATTCCGGAACAAGAATCACAAGCGAATTCCCATTTTTATTCATTTATACAATTAGCAGAAATGCTCAATAGAACAATGGTATTGGTTAACGTACAAAATTCTAGAATAGGCGCTTGTTTAGAACTACCATATGATTTCTATTATAACGTCCAAGAATTAAAAAAGTTATTTCCCAATGTGAATTTTATCACTCAAGATGATTTTCTTTCTTGGACCAAGGAACGTCATGAAAAACCTGATGTTGTATTTAGAAGGATTCAACAAGGTGGGGAACCAAATACGATTATTAGTGACGTTAGTCCACAAGAATGGGATAACGTAATAAACAATCAATGTCTTGAGGAATTTGATTTTAAATTTGACGATCAGGACGTTTCCCTTTACAAGAAACTTCTAATCGGACCAAAGAAATATTGGAGAAAGTATAATGAAGCCATGACAAAATTCATCGTTTCAAATTTAGAACATATCAATGAAGAAGTTTTATTAATACATCCTTATGAAGTCGGGGGTGCTTATTTCCCTTCAAAAGGTGAAGTCATACCCTTACCTTACGCTACTCATTTGATCGAAGCAGCGAAAAATGTATCGAGTCATTTGAAACCTTATATAGGTATTCATTGGAGACAAGAGACTATAAATTCGAGTGTGTTACCAAATTGCGCTGAAGGTTTAATTAAATATATTAAAGAACTTCAATTAAAAACGGGAATAGAGAATATTTATTATGCGACGGATTATCCTTTATATAATGGAGGAGAGAATGCTCAATCATCCACATTTCACATATTAACTCGAGAACATCATGAGACCATGAGAATGTTAAATTCTACTTTTACTTTAAAAACTTGGGTATCATTAAAGGCTCTAGATGGTTTATATGACATCCTCCCTCAATTTAAAGATTACATCACTAAAGAATTAAGTGGATCCGGCTTGGCTGGGATACTTGATAAGTTGGTATTGGTTGATGCTGATTACTTTATTATCGGTCCACGTGGATGTGCCAGAACTTCAAGTAATTTTACAAAGAAAATTTATTTGGCAAGAAAATTATTGATGGAATCCGGTAACAAGGATATTCACAATGATATTGATCATTGGTAATTGGTTTTGGGACAGTCAGTCAAAAACTTCAACCAATCAAAAGATGCCGATTTTTTTTGCATGTCATTAAAATTTATTATATAAGAACAATACTTTTGTTTATAAACATGTCAAAATTACAAATAATTAAAAATGTTTTAACTTGTAATATAAAATAATATACATTATGAATAATTATAATAAGCTCCAAATAATCTACCTGCGTTACTATTATTTATCTCAAAATATAATCTCATGGCTTCTCTCATTTCCATAAATAATTGTGTAATTAACATCTCTTGTTGCATCATTAACGGTGGGTCATCAAACATTGATCTTGCTTGTTTGATTTTATGGTGAAATTCCCTGTTCTCTTCTTCATTCTATATGAAAGAGAAATTTTTTTTATAAATATAAATAATTTGAGGTTGATTTATTAATTAATAACAATCATTCGTTACCTCATTAATGAGACTATCTAAAAGCGTACACCATTCCTGAGAATATAACATAACAATATCACTACCGATTAAATGAAGAAATGTTATCAAGTCCATAAACATCTCCCAATAAGGAATTCCGTTAGGCTATAAAAGTAAAATAAAAATAAATGAACGTAAAATTATATAAAAAATATCCTAATAATAAACAAAATTTTCTTACCAGAATATTATTCTCGTCAATAACACTAATCAATTGTTTTCTAATATTGGGCCAAATAAAGTTCCAAAACCTTCTTTCAGTCATAGTTAAATTAGTACCTAACCTTTGATGTGCTCTAGGTGCTTCGCTGACTTTGCTTTTCTCTTTTGGTTCAGAATTTTGTAAACAAAGAATCGTCCAAATTTTTACTAAAACAAATGATTGATAAGCCAATTCTCCTGATGGTGTATATAAATAATTTACATCCCCTGCTTCAAAATCGTTCAATGGCGATTTAAGTGCAATTGACAATAAATCTGAAATATTATCTTGAAAATCGTATATTATTGTAATTAATCCTTCTGAAGAATCCGCTTTTAAAATTCCCAAAAAAATCCAATTCAATAATCTAATTGTACGTCTCGAGTCCGTTGGCTATAAATGATAATTGAGATGAAGTAAATAAATATATTTTTTTTTTTTCCTGTTAAAAATTAAATTAATTACCTTTTGCCATAAAAATACCTTCTTCAATAATTCATATTTTTGACTACTCATGGCAACGGCTAATTGACTTGCACATACTCCGACTTTAAAATCTTGTTTCGAATATTGTTTTATTATAGGAGGATTTTCTAAGAAAGTTATACAATCTTCGAATAAAAATTCCGAAACATTTGAAAAAAAAGGTTTGCGTGGTTGATTTGTAAAATTTAGTTTAATTCTTTGTTCAATATTTTTAAACCATAAATGTGCCGATGGTTGCATATCCCATAATACAAGCTACAAGAAATAAGCATGTGAGCATAATTTCTTTAAAGTCATATATACACTTACTATACTAATCTTACATACCTGTAATAATATTACTAAAGTATCTCGATTCAATCTGTTTCTGGCTCCCTTATAAAATGCCTTTATTTCATCAAGTATCACTTCACCAAAAACATTTATAGTACCAGATGGGGAGACTTCAATTATTGCATTATAAGCTGCCAAAACTTTTACAAATGATTCTATCTTAGGTCCACATTTATTAATTACGTGTTTCAAAAAGTTCCTTACAGGATGAATCAAATGCTAATTTTTTTTAAAAAAAAAAATTGTAAATTAAAGAAGCATTTAACAAATTTTTACAAAAAAAAAAAATAATTATTTTCACCTTTGCATAAAGCGGGTTATCCTTAAATATAATTGAAATCATATTAAGTACAGGATTAACGTCCCAGTCAACACGTTTCCATTCGGTTGTATATTTAGTCAATTTTATTAAAAATGTTCCCAAATCTAAATATAAAAATAAAAAATAGCAATTAAATAATCAATTTTTAAAATCCAAATTTGTTTAAATAAATTTTTTTGGCTTTTCAATTTACCTATCATTAACTGTTCACTATATGGTTTGGAATAAACCAATTCAACGTATCTATTCAAGTTATACAAGACGGTCGAGACAATTTTACTATTTGTAAATTTAAATAATTGATTCATCACGTCTCTTATTGGCTCGACACGAAGATAGTCTGGTTCAGCATTTTCATCTTCTGACGGAATAACTTCATCCTTTATTATCTCACGTAATACTCGAAACATATCAAGTTCAGTATTAGTTTCATCGGCAACGCTTTGATTCTGTTAGAAAAATTTAAATTAGATATAAGAAATAAGAAAAATTAATCGATAATTGATAAGGATTACCTTAAAAATTAAAACAAACAATCCGTTCCTTGCAAAACTTAAAAAGGCAGTTCGTAAAAATATCTTTGCACTCATAACTAAAGAACTTGATGAGTTATTTTCTAGTTTTGTCAATAACTTTCCCAATGTAATAATATATTTTCCTAAAATGTTCACCGTTAGCATTGGAGCTCTTCTTAATAAGGTGGTGGAAACCTCTATAATAAGTTGTTTATTTTCTTCCGTAATATCTTTTGATAGTAATTCAGAAGCTTTCCTCATAGCACTCACTAAACGTTCTTCTAATTGATTATTATGTTTCTCCTCAATCTTATGCTAAATCATTAAAAAAAAGTTAATCTCAATAATGCTTACGAAGTGGATATTAAATAAAAACCATTCAACCTTATAAACAATTATAAGTAATAATTCAATCCAACTTTTAAGCATAAGATGACTTAAAGTTGACATATCCACTGAAGAATTAAATAACTCTAACACGACATCTACAAAATACCCTCCTGCTAATTCTTCTTCTTGTTCTGGTTCGGCATTATTTGATGGCTTTAAATAAATTGGTGCATCCAATACTCTCTTAAGATTTCCTAAACATGATATCATCATCATATTTTGTGTAAAATCATCGGGAATATATTCAAAATCTCCAATCGAGGTTATATCTAGCTTTCCATTAACAAATTCCAATTTAGCATTTTTAAACCCTAAATGAATTAACACCAAATATTTTAATCTATTTATTTGATCTTGAGTCATTTCAATGCCATTTGCTAACATCTGCAGGGCAAGCGTTAGCATTATAACCTAAAAAACGGAACAAGTAAATCACATATTTTAAAATTAAATAATAAATAAATAAGTAAATTAAGAATATTAACTTACTTTCAAATTTTGTAATTCAGCAACTCTTTGTCCTGGAGTAGAATTTCCAGCATCTTGAGCTTGTTGTTTCGATCCTATAACCAAAATACTATCTGGTCTCATATAACTTTCCTATAAAATAAATAAATGCTCATTGTATTAATAATGAACAATAATTATGATATTTAAAAATGAATTTTTCTTACCAAAATATCAACAGTGGAAACTTGTTCAGCTTCATCATTTTCTTGAGTTAAAGCATCTAATAATGTATTCCATTCAATAACTATAATATATAAAATATATGCAACATAGTTAAATATAAGATAATTAATAATACCAAGATAACTTTAATAATATATAACCTTCCCAATCCGGAAACCTTGCATTCAATTTAATCATTAATTTACACAACAATGTCTTCTTACGAATACTTGCTATATAAAAATATCCTTCCCAACATTTTAAAGCTAGACGCACGTGTCGCGGTTGCATTGACTTTATACAACTTATCGCCTTTGTCCTAACAAATTCCTATGAATAAAAAATTAGATTATTGGAAGCTTTTGATTTTCAGATATGTTGATATTAAGTAATTTTACCTCCTCATCCCATAAACATCCAACAAAGTAACTAAATATTGGTCCTAAATAAGTGAAAACTCCGGCTCTTTGTATTTCATGTCTTTCTTCCAACTTAGAAAACAGCCCATACAAGTTATCAAGACCATCGAATCTTTAAATATAATATAAGCTAAATCAATAAATTCATGCATTAAACAAAGATGTATATAATAAAATTTTTTTATTACCTAACTTCCCAACTAGAATGTTCGAATACTTTACTGACTGAAGCAAGAAAGAATCCAGAATCTGCCCAAACAATTCTCATCAATAGTTGCAAAGTCATGTCTGATGATAGGTCATATAATGGAGACAGTTCCTCCCATACACTAAATGACGATATTAAGTAATAGTTAATAATTTTAATGTAAAATATCTAAGTAAAAAGATTTTTACCTTGGAAGAAGTTTAGGAATACAACTATTAATAAATTCATTTTTATTGAATATTAGACCTGCCGAAGTATAAAATCTCCAAAATCCTTTCACTATATCTCCGCGAACTTCTAGCTTTTCTAATCTAGCGTACTTCAACAAGCATAACATTAAAGGATTATCGGCAGTAATATTTGATCCAGGAGTTGAGTCCTTAAGATTAGATAACCTTTTATGTTGACTAATATACCGTTGATTATATCGTCATCATTAAGGTTAAAATATAAAATGCTAGTTTAATAGAACAAAATATGCAATACCTTAAACTAATTGGCTTTTCGGGTAGCGAATCAAATATTCCGATGTTATATATCATTTCTAATGGGCAGCTATAAGAATATAAAGACAATGCAAGTGTAACTTTGATAAAAGATCTCGCACTTTAAATTGAATGAAATAAGTTTAGTAAAATTTTATAGACATATTTAAGGAATTATATTTATGTATATAAAAAAAGGATACCTAGCAATTTCTGTACCGTATCCCTCTTCGTTTATTTTTTGGACCATTTCAAAAGCCAATTCATTAACGTCCAAAATAATTTTTTGAATGTTACTTCGTACAAGAAGCTGCCCAAGGCCGTTCATAACTTGATACCACATAACCTCCATAAATGTAACGTACTGTTCGATCGATGGCGTAAGATTTGCCAAATATGGAAGGAAATCAGAAAACATCGAACCTGGAAGGCCAACACTACAAAAAAAAATAATAATAATAAAACATTACTAATTAAATTATGCGATACATAAATAATTCAAACTAAAATAATCCTTACCCGGAACGAACCATCACTTCCATCCACTGCAATGCTCGAGTTAATTCAACGGCATCTCCTTTGAAAAGCTGTGTTAATAAAACAATGGGATCTGTTATCTCGCCGTAATTTTCGTTTGAAAGCATTTGATCCGTAGTACTATATCGCTGCATTGATGATTTTGACACGTTAAAGGTTTTATATAAGGTTTTCAATTCCACAAAAATCTTTCAAGAAATATAATAATTGTTAGCTTAATTATGTTAAATGGTACAAGAAAAGGAAAAAAAAATTTGATATATTACATTGGATTGATGTTTCATTATATGATAAGCGTCATCTAACCACCGTGCAATCATATCATTAACTGCAGAAAAAAGTAGCCCGGCATGCCATAATCTAATCATAAATTTTAATATACGATCATGACTTTGAAGTTCGGTTTCCTATGAACATAAGGATTTAATTAAATGGAAATGATACTTTACAGAAATAAGCATTTTTTTTTATACATACTTTTACAACATCTTCTTCATCTTTGTTATCATCCAACATTTCTATTTGGTCAAAAACGATATCACAAAACAATCCCTGATTCATATCATGAATTGCAGACATCCAGTTCATTATATATTTTTCTCTCAACATTTTACGACATATGATATAAGCACCACCACCAGCAGAACTAGATATCAATAATGATGTTCTTTGATTTGCACCTCCCCTTTTATCCTCCATTTCATCACGAACTCCAGGAAGTTTGAGATGAGATGGAGTATATTCACGTGCAATTATAAGTAGCTTATCATCTTCATCACATACCCATTTGATTACAGCATAAATTAATCTTTCTAATACGTATCTTGACGAAAAAGAATCTGGCCAACAACGTCTTGTCATCAATAATAATCCACATTCGTTTGTTGAAATGCTAATATCCAGTAAGCATGCACTAATTGCAGTTATTAAAGACTCTACCGTTGGAGAACATTCAATTACAAACGGTAAAGGAAATGTGACATCATATCCCAACTGCTTTCCTTCAGATTCATCATTAAATAATACGGGATGCCCATTAATTCGTTCCAAAAATCCATAGTTAGCCATTTGCTGCAAGAACATCTTCGAAGCATAAGAACTATGAAATCCAAGGTTTTTTCGCAACCATTTCATAATTTCTTTTATAGTCAAAATCCCTGTAGAATTATAAGAATATTCCGGTGAAGACGCTGTTAATGTAGCTGCAGTATAAACGCTTAAATGACGATCTACAAATTCAGATTCCGAGTCATCCGAACTTTTAATAATAGATGCTAAATGTGCAAGATAATCCTCACAAGAAATTAACCATAAAGGAGGTTCTTTACCAATGCCTTCCCAATATTCACTTGATATTACCGATAACGATGCCTTTCTCCCTCCGAGATATGATCTATAAAGCTCAAGAAATTCTTGCAACTCATTAAACCGTTCAAATGGTTCTGTTATTGGGCTAAGAGGATTATGATATTTTTGTTTGATAATCAAACATCCAGCCATAATTCCATTACGCAATATATTCTCTTGCATTTGTAAAATTGTCATCATTATGGATAACTCTTCAAAGCTATAATTAGAAAGGTTTTCTTCGGGTATCAAGATATTCTCGTAATAAGCTTTAAAACTAAGACAAAGCATATCGCGTTCTATCAATGCGTCATTTTCATTCATGGGCGAAGATTGACAAGAGAATTGTTTTTTCAATTCGCCTGATTTCATACATCGAAGATGTATAAATTTATTGCAAGTTTCACACCGATAACCCTGATGCATTACACCCCATAAAGGCATTCGACAAACTATACATAATACCAAAGTAAAAAAATTTGCGAGGCGAAAAGTGTGTCCGGCAACAGTCTCAGAAATGATAACAGTCTGAAAATTATTGTTTTTCGAAGTATCATTGCATATGACTTCTCTGGAACCACGAGCTATGTCACAATATCTTGGAGTTGATAACTTTTGTACTCCTGAATTAAACAAATATTCTGCCAAACATCCTCCATCAGTTAAATTATAACATGTAAAATGAACATTTAGTTTACAGCCACCACATCTTAAACCAAAATCAGATACCGGCTTAAAGCATTGAACACACGCATGTGGATGTTCAGTAGGTATAAATTGACCATGCATATCCGCTATAGATGTACCAGTAATAGAAGCATGATTATTGTCCTTGCTGTCTTGAATGTCAATAAAAATATGCGGCAAAAATTGATGATTATGAACATCTTTTATAACAGATTTTGAAACACTCTTTGAATTTGCTTGAATATCATTTTTTTTCTCCTTAGCCAACAAATCATGCATATATCCCACACTTGGAAGAGCTTCTCCAATTGAAAGATGTCCAGTACTATTTCTCCAAAAGTAAAATAAAATATTTACAGCCTGATTACGACTAATTGTATCACCATGTGCAATGATTTCTATAACATCATTATAGAGGTCTGGCTTATTTTGAACCATAACTTCAATAGTTCGATGCATCTGATATAAAGTTTCTAAAGAAGAATTCTCAACTGAAATAAATTGCATAATCGAATATAATAAAGGAGTAAACATTGAATCAATATAATAAGCATCAATGTCAAGATCTCCAGTATATGAAATAGAAAGTCTTCTTGATAACTTTCTAGCCGCACTCTGCCTACGATAAAAACTATGTTCATCATCTAATATATCGGCATCAGAATTTAACAAAATTTCCGAACGTGGTGAATGAGATGGTGCTGCTAAATCTTCAGAATTTATCGTTATGTTGATATATGATGAATTTTCAAATTCTAAAAAAAAATTTATAAATTAATATGAATAATCATAGAAAATGTTTTTAAAAAAAGTGTTAAAATTCACTAAACCTGCCATTCATAGTGATCTTTCCATTGGACTTTCCATGGTACGCAGAAGTTAAATCATCACTTATAAATTCCCTTTGACAAGCCATCAAATGTGGGATTAAGAAATCAGTATAAAATATTAATAGCCTTGCACGTAAGATATCATTAAAAAAATTAAACCCAGGTATTATTGCCATTCCCAATTCATACAGCCAACCCGGCGAATAAGGGTTTTGATCTACTAATAAGTGAGCAATATCAAGTACAATTGATTGTAAAGCATTAGGTGGACGAAATGGCCTTGGTGTAATAACTTTATAACGACAGTCATTTTGAACAATATCATATAATACTTCTAATATGCGTTCAAGTATACCGAAACTTTTGTTTCGATTTGGTGTATCGCGTCTAGAACGCGATGGTGACGGCGAACGAGATCGATTTGGTGAATGTTCTCGCGAAGCATATGGTGAGTCGGGTGGTGTAGCAGACATTCTAATAAAAAATATATTTTGGTTAATATACAACACTTTCGCGACGTAAAAATATGCATCAGATCAAATAAAGACTCGCCTATCACCAAAATTAATTCCATCCATTTCACAAACCAATAATACATCTCTAAGTTGAATTAATAAATCGCAAGTATCATCGGCATTAAATACATTTTGCAAATTTGGATTATCTTCATTTAATGGTAAACCAACCAAATTTTGAAAAGGAGAAGGTGGTTTCTTCCTTTTCTTTAGCTTAAGTAATATTTGGTTTATAAGTTTGCGAGTTTGTTCTATCTTAGGAAGCAATAAATTTCTTCCTCGTTTTGGAGACTTTGGTAAACTTAACGGACGTGAACGACCGGAATTGTTACTTTCCATTCTTTATTATATAGAACGTGAATCGCAAAATTTAATACAAAGATTAATTTTAAATACAAATTATGATATTTCTAATTCTAATGTGGTAAAAAAAAATATTCTCTCTAATCTATCTACAACCGTGTTTTTTAAATTTCGATTTCGATTATTTTGAAGTGGGTAATTAAAAATAATAAATGATTGACACGTGTATTCCAAAAAAAGTCTTGGTTCATTTGAAGATCATTGTAACTATAAAATTTTTGATTTTTATGTTAAATTTATTCTTTTATTAGATGAATTGAGGTTTTTTTTTTTTATTTTTAAACAATTAAAAAAATTATTTATTATATTATTATGCCAAAAAAGTGTTTATTTCTAAATTCCATTAATTTAAATATAAATAAAAATGTAAATACTTTTAATATATTTAGGTCATAATATTTAAAATGCAAAAAAAAAAAAAAGCCATAAATTTTCAATTAAATTATAATAATTATAAAGAACTTTAATTTCTTTATAATTAAATGGATAAATATTTTTCCGATGGAAATATTGCCGGGGTAAAAGTAATTTACATGAAGAAGACATCGAACAGGTCACATGCAAATTAATCTTTATTTCTTTTTACAATTATTTGAATATTCTTTTCAGAAATATTTTTTGACTTCTTGTTTTTAATTCCTAGTAGGAAGAAAACACTCATTTTTTTTATATCTTTTTTAATTATAAAACACTATGGGTTTATGTTTATCTGCTGAGGAAAAAGAATCACGGTTACGGAGTTATCAAATCGACAAACAGATTGAAGAGGATAGTCGAAGGTTCAAGAAAGAATGTAAAATTCTTCTGTTAGGTATATAACTCCTCTTGCTTATCTTGTTAGAAACCCAAACGCAAGCAAAAGTCATACTCGGTTTGAAAATTTTCTTCTAACCACTTGTCAAAAGTTAGAGAAGGGTTTTAATGACCCAGTTAATTAATTTTTCTCAGTCGGTTTTTTGGGGGCAAACTGTAGCATTTAATTGCGCATTGTCATTTTACAGGGTCAGGAGAATCGGGAAAGTCAACGATAGTCAAACAAATGAAAATAATACATCAAAATGGTTATACCAAAGATGAGTTAGCGCTTTACCGAATAACGGTTTATAAAAATCTTGTTGACTCGGCACAAGCCCTTGTTTATGCGATGAAAAAATTTCGAAAAGAGCCTCGAATTCCTGAAAATAGAGTAAGTGATAATGTGTTCTAATCCAATTAATAATTGTATCATTAAAATTTCTAATTTGTTACCATTAGGGATTTGCTGAAAAAATTTTGGAATATTATGTTGAATCCGACCCTGCTTTTCAACTAAGTTCAGAAATTGTTGATGCGATTGATGCTGTTTGGAGTGATCCAATATCATCAGAACTAATGGATCAACAAAGTCATTTTTATTTGATGGATTCTGCTCCCTAGTTAGTATATGCTATAGTCAAAATGCTGTCAATTGGGATTATTTACGTTTCTTATATAATTGCTTTTGCAATTATAATAATTATAATTATAGTTTCTTTGATGAAGTAAAGCGGATTGGAGCTAATGGTTATATTCCAGATGAAGCAGACGTTCTGCGCGCAAGAACCAAAACCACAGGAATATCAGAAACAAGATTTAATATGGGTCAACTAAGCATACAGTATGTTATTTTTTTTTCATAATAATAAATAAAGAATATAAGCGACATGATTTTATAAAGTATATTTATTAATTCATTTTATTATCGTTTGATTTATAATGGATTAACAACTTTATTTCAGTATGTTTGATGTAGGTGGTCAGAGATCAGAACGAAAAAAATGGATTCATTGCTTTGAAGCTGTTACATCAATTATATTTTGTGTAGCTTTGAGTGAATACGACCAGGTTTTGCTGGAAGAAAATGGCCAGGTGATGGATTTTTAAAAAAAAACACCTCTAAAATTATACTTGACGATTTATTTACAGCTAATTAATTTAATCTTATTTTCTTTTTTTTTAATTATAGAATCGTATGAGAGAAAGTCTTATATTGTTTGAGTCAGTTATTAATAGTCGATGGTTTTTACGAACTTCTATTATCTTGTTTCTTAACAAAATTGACCTGTTCAGAAGAAAACTACCGAGAGTACCTCTTGAAAGATATTTTTCCGAGTATTCTGGTATTCATTTTAAAAACGTTTAATTAGTGATTATGATTTTAAGTTATTAAATCATAATTCAATTCGGTAGGGGGAGCTGATGTAAATAAAGCCGCAAAGTATATATTATGGAGATTTACACAAACCAATCGAGCCCGACTTAATATATATCCACAGTGAGTTTTTGCATGATTATTACTCGTTTAATTTATACAGAATGATTAATACTGCTACCTTTTATATTTGAATTTGATAATAGTCTTACACAGGCTACTGATACATCGAACGTAAGCGGATTATAATTATTTGTATGGCGATTTATCTTTTTAATAATACTAATATTTTTCTTTATAATTTTAATTATAGATACGGTTTGTAATCATAAACAATATTTTATATGTACTTTATGAGAATAATATTAATTTTTACTTTTTTAATTTTTTAGACTTGTTTTTGCGGCTGTGAAAGAGACAATTCTGCAGAATGCATTGCGAGACAGCGGTATCTTATGATGAACGAAGTAAAATAATTGTATTTTTCTTTCTTTTGCATTTGCATTTGCATTTTCCTTTTTTATTTTGTAATATGATATATTTTGTATATTGCACATTAATTTGCGGGACGGTGGTGGCATAAATAAAGCCATTTGGATATTTTAATGATCATGCATTTTATAAAACTAAGTAGATGCAAAATGATCTGGAATGTCTGAGAAAATATAAAACATAATTAAGCAAATAGGATATTTGGTTAATTTTATTCAATAATTTTTTCAATATTAATAATAAATTTAAATAATAAAATTATTTATATATACCTAATTATTTTAATCATAATTTATTTTCATAATATTCATATTAATAAGATACTTTATTATTTTCTTATTTTTTTAATTAGTGAACACGGAAAAGTAGAAGTCGACAAAATTTGACGCCTTAATTTAACTCATTTTACATTATTAAAAAGTAATTAATTAATTATAAATATTTGGTTTTTAAATTTTATGAAAAAAAAATATTGTATGATAAATAAATATTAATAAAACAAATTTTTTTTAAAGTACTTAAATATCATTAAAAATAATTAATTATATATTAATTTTATTTTTGCATTTAACTATAATTCTATATAATATATTTAATATTATTTTGCTAAAGATTAAAATATTATATTGTAAAAAAAATAAAATAATAAAGATTTATATTTTAAATTTATATAATATTAAATTATACTAGAATAAATTACAAATATATAAATTATTTTTTTTAATAATTTTAAGTTTTTATATAAATATAATTAATATATATATATTTATAATAAATATTTTAAAAATAGATATTTTTAAACTTTAAAAATAAATCAAAAGGAGGATATATATCTATGAATATAGCTATAATATACTGTTTAAGATTATTTTTATAATATAATTTATAATAATTATTAAATTATTAAAATAAAAACTTTTTTATAAATTTATTAATTAAAAATTTATATAATAATTATTGTTTTTATTTATTTTAATAAAATTAACAATATTTTTAAAATAAAAATTATATTATAAAAATTAATAAAAAAAATAGTATTTATTATTAAATTTTTTTTAAAAACTAATTTAAAAGATATTATATTCAGATTTAAATTTAAATAATTAAATATAATAAAATATAATAATTTTAATATATATTAATTATTTTTTTTTATAAAATTTATATTAAATTTAATTATTAATCTAATTTTTAATTAATAAAAAATATATAATAATAATATTTATAAATTTTATAATAAAAATATATAAATTAATAAAAATATTATATATAATTTATTATTTTAATTTTTAATTATTAAAATATTTTATTTAATTAATAATATTTATTTATATAATTTAATACTTTATATATTTTATATCTATTTAATTATAAAAAAAATTTTTAATTATAAATTTTTTTACTGACTAAGAGAGTTAAAATTTTATTAAAACATAAGCAAAAAACTATATATATCTATGTTTAATATCTGTTAATTCGTTTACTTAAAATTTGAGTTAATATATAATTAATTTCTTTCATTACACTTGTACTTTAAACTTAACAATAGTTTCTAAAACTATTTCTTAGTTTATAAAAATAATATAAGTAAAAACTAATACCTCTATTTATATTTCAAACTATCTAAGCATTCAGTTAGTTATACTATTTCCTTAATATTTAACATATAATATATATTATAATTCAATATTATAAATAAGAAAGTAAAAAGAAAAAACAATTGTATAAAAAGAAAAAATCAAGAGTCTTATACTTGAAAACTTAAAAGAAAAATAAAAGTAACATTCAATATAACTATTTTGAAAAGAAAAAAGAAAAAAAATCTAACTATAAACTATTAAATACAAATGATAACTATTTAAATTTCTACTAACTTTTAATATTCAAGTGTAAAAGAAAAGAATAGGCATAGTGTATAAACTTTAACAAGTTTCACTCAATATATAGCTTTAGATCAACTAATAGAATAATCTATATAAAAATCGTTTGATTAAAAATAAAAAAGTTAGTAAAGAAAGGTTAAAAAAAAATATTTGTAAAAAAGGATAATTTATAAATAAGGAATTTAATATTTTTTTTTAATTATTAATCTAAACTGCTTATTTATAGAAAGTATAACTTTTTATTAATTTGGTATTTCTAAAGTCATTATATTGAGGTATTAAATTCACAATGATTACATATTTAGTTTACAAAAAATTAGAAATTATATAAAAACATAAGAAAAAAAATTATATAAAATTGTATGATTATTGTTTATAATAAAATCATTATTAATAAAAGTAATTAGTATTATTTATATAATCTTTTTAAATTGTATAATTAATAAAAAATTGTTACAAAAAGGAAGGTAAGAAAAGAAAAACAAAAAATACTAAAAAAGACTACTCTTTATAAGTCTAAAACTTCAAAATTATAATTAAACAATAACATAACATTGCTGTTTGTTACAATCATCTAACAGATTTAGAATTTGTTTTTGCAGGAGTCTTCGATCATATCTGCATTTAAGAGTTGTAACATTAGCATGAATATAGCAGCTGATTATTCTGAGTTTAATATGTTCTTTCAAGTATAAATCTATATAAAGCAATTGCAGATCTAATGTAAAGGAAAAAGCAATGTGTTTATCCCATTTTTTTGAAATAAAAAGGACAACCCCTGCAAAAGATTGTAGTAGATCAAATTGACTCTAAAAAGTTATATAGTATTAATTTTATTTGTGTTTGTAAAGTATTGATGAGTTTCTGTAAGACTAATGAAGTCTATATTGTTATGTATAAAATGTTTTAATATTTGAGAAAACTTAATAAGATCTGTGCTATTATTGATTTCTCGTATATTGTGTATAGTGAATGTAATTATGTTTTCTTTAATTATGTTATTATATATGTCTTCATTTAAGTATGAAATATTTTTATCGATTTTGTCAATGTTGTTTTATCTATTATTGTAAAATTGAGAAACCTGATTATTTAAGAAATAATTCACATCTATATTAATATTAAAAGTATTTCAGTTATTAATAGGAATACTTTTTAACTGTAATTCATTTGATATAGGATATATTATAATTGATAAATTGTAGGTCCATTATGATTGGTAAAGGTAAGGATCTGAGAATCTAATTTTGTCAAATAAGATTTAATTGAGTCTAATTCCTGAAGTTTTGATAAAATTAAATCAAGTGAATTGGAATTACTGTTAATAGGAGTTGCAGTATTTGTTGTAGTAAAAAATGTAAAGTCAACATCTTTTCCCTTTCCTTTTTTTGAATTACTGAATAAAAAGCATCTGTTTCTTTAATAATTATTGGAAGGAATCTTAGAAGGGATGGTGTCTAATGAACAAACTGATTCAGTTTGAGTATATGAATAATTAAAAATTCTAGGTCTTTCGTCTAATTTGTATCTATTATATACGATTCTTTATGAATAGGTAGAATTCATATCTTCTTCAGATGCAAAGGCAGCATAAGCAATATTATTATGAAAATAACAGGAAAATATATTTAAATTCGTTAATGATGTTATCGTCATCATGATAGTTTTCATTATTTTTATAATTTTAGCTGATCAATCGCTAATTCACATTAAGAAATTATAGCTCTATATGGTAATGATCTATGAAATTATACTTGACATTCATTTCAAAATATCTTGCTAAATATTAGTTCAATCAGGTTAAGTTTATATTTGTTAGAAAGCTTTCGTCAAGACAGTTCTAATGATACTATTTTATTAAAATGTTAATCATTAGTTCAAGAGTTATTCTATTTAACAGTATGACCTAACTATTATCAATATTAAAAATTTGTTCTAGAAAAATGATTTACAAAAGTCATTGGATTTAATTTCATGTAGATCATATTAAAGAAGATCTTGATTAACGTATTGCATTAGAAAATTAGGCTGATTTATTAATTTGCAAGATTTATAAAATTTACCTGCTTCATCTGATTTATTTGATTAGCTTATTTTATTAAATTCTTTACATATTTATTATTTTCATTATAATTATTATTTTATTATTTCTTTTATTTTTATCATTATTATAATTTATCTTATATTTTATATCTTTATTTTATTATCCTTTATTATTATTCTATAAGCGAAGTTTACTAAAATAGTTAGTTTATAATGTAGTAAGTAGTTAACTGTAGCAAATTTATTTTGTATAAATAGAATAACTTTTTGCTTAAGTTGTAAATTAATTTATTTGTAAGTTTTATACGAGTTTCAGTATTATAAATAAAGGAATCAATTATAATCTATATAAATTTACTTTTCCCTTTAACGTTATTTTTCATCTAGAATTTGTTGTAATACCTAACACTAATTTGCTATTGAGTTTGTTATTACGAGTTTGACTAATATATCTTAAATTCTAAAATGTGATAAATTATCAAGTTGATTTAAATATAACAGATACCTGTAGGACTTAGAGAAAATCCTAAAATCAGAAACTTTAACATATAGAATTAACTGCTGCAGCTTTTTAACTTAAACGTTAAGATAATTAAAAATGAACCTGGTAATACTGTGTATAATCAGATAGTTGTCGTAAGTAATTTAAATATATTTTTAATAATTTATTATTAGCATTTACTTATTTTTTTTAAAAAAAATAAAAAAGCATATTTGTATAAAGTTAGAAATTGTATTGTTAAGGGAGTTGTAAATAAAAAAGTGAATATATATCTAGTTATATTTTATCATATTATTTCAAAAAATATAAAAAAATATCCTTTTATTATA